AATAATAATAATAATAATAATAATAATAATAAGGAGGAGGAGGAGGAGTGGATTTTGGTGACTTTCTGTTTGGATTAATGTCACATTCTTTCTCCTCGACACCAACATTGTGTGAAAAACAACCCGCTTTTGCGGTTTATTTCTACTTTCTGTTCAGGTTAAACCCGAATGTCGTGTGAAAAATAACCCACTTTTGCAGATTGTTTTCACTTTAAATCCAGTTTCTGCACAGGATCCATCCTGTGTGATAAACTCCTATGACTCTGGAGACAAATCATGTCCAGAAAACCCTAGGATAGGTTTGTCTTAGGCTCGCCATAGGTCAGAAATGACTTGAAGACACAACAATGAAAAGATTTATATTTGGGGTTTTTTTTTAATGAGTTTGCTGCCCTGGATGATAATAGGGTTGGATAGCAATAGTTGAATTAATAAATGAATAGATAGAAGAAGTGGAGCCAGGTTGCAATGGCACCAGCTGACCTTGGGAAGGCTTTCCTGAGTCAGTTTTACTGCCAGGACCAAAGGAGATGGATCTGGCTACGTGTGTTTTTCCATGTCCTCTGCCTTCTTTCCCTGTTGCTATCCTTCATTACGTCTCCAGCTGAAAGGAGAAGTGGGTTTAGTGATGCCCTTGAACCATCATTCAATGTATACAAACCTTGTTTCATGCACAAAATTATTTAAAAAGATTGCATACCTTCATTACCTTCACGCTATGTGTTTACATGTTGTTGTTATATGCCTTCAAGTTGTTTCCAACTTATGATGTCCCTAATGTGAACCTCATCACAGGGTCGTCTGGGACTGAGAGAGTGTGACTCACTCAAGGTCACCAGTGGGTTTCCCTGGTTGATCTGGGAATCGAACCCTGATCTCCAGAGTCATAGTCAAACAACTCAAGCGGTTACACCAGGGACAGGCAACCTTTTTGAGACCTGGGCCAGTCTCCCGTAGCCCAGGTCTCGGCTGGGCCGAGGGGGGGAATGGCAGTGCGCGTGCTCATGCGCGCACGCGCCCCCTCCTCCGCCGCACGCGCCCCCTGCATACGCTGCTGCCATGGCCGCTACTGCGGCCGCCGCCGTAGCACGTGCGGCCATGGCGCATGTCGCGGCCACCATTTTGGAAGTCCAAATCGCGGCCGCGACGCGTTTGCACATGCGCAAGAGTACTGCGCATGCGCAAAAGCGTCACGACCGCAATTTTGACTTTCAAAATGGCAATCGCAACGAGCGCGGCCAAAAACGCGTCCCAACGGCGGCGCGCGGTGGCGACAACCTTCGGCCTGGGCCAGTAAGTCCGGGGCCCGGGGCCTTAACCGGCTTCTGGGCCGTAGGTTGCCGGTCCCTGCGTTACACCATGCTGACTCTCAATATGATGTTACATAGAACTATACAATTGGAAGGGACCTCAAGGGTCATCTAATCCAACCCCGCTGTCAAGCATGACTACATAACCAAAGCAAACCTGAGAGAAGACTATCCTCCAAGCCTCCAAAAAAAAGAGAGTCCACCACACTCCTATCCTATGCCACTTTCAAGCAGCTCTTACAGTCCAGAGGTTCTTCCTAATGTTGAGGTGGAATCTCTTTTCTTGTAATTTGAACCCATTGCTTTGTGTTCTAATCCCTGGAGCAGCAGAAAGCAAGCTGTTTCCATCTTCTCTGTGAAATCCCTTCAGATATTTACAGATATCACTTTTCAGTCTTCAGACAGAAATGTGTCCCTTTCAGCACCTGTTGCCAGATTTCCTCCATTCACTTTCTTTATTTAAAGTCGCTCTTCCCCAGGTTATCTAAGGACCAGCCAAACTTGTCTCTGTTTCTAGGGCTGCATCTGCACTGCTGAACGAAGGCAGTTTGACACCACTTCAACTGCTATGGCTCAGTGCTATGCAATTCGGGAAAACAAAATGCAGGAAATACACGTTGCAAGCTTTCCAAGCTCCACTGGCTTCTTCGTTCATTTTTTCTCTTGTTTGATTTTAAACACTTTTGCCCAATGAAGAATCCTTTGAAAGCGTGCATCATAGATTTTGTGCATTTTGGTTGGCCCAATAAAGATATCACTATTTGGTGCATTTTGGATGCTGTTATACTTTGCTAGATGGCCGACATGGCTACCTCTGGATATGTTTTCCTATATGCAGATGTGAAATTAAACAACCAGGTCAGGTTAAGCTTTGTATAAGTAAACCTGGCATTGGACTATGACTCTGGAGACCAGGGTTTGAACCCCGACTCGGCCATATAAACCCATCGGGTTACTTTGAGCAAGTCACACACTCTCAGCCTCAGAGGGTGGCAATGGCAAACCCCCTCTGAAGAAACATGCCAAGAAAATCCCATGATAAGAGTCACCTTAGGGTCACCATAGGTAAGAAATGACTTGAAGGCTCATGACAACAAGTGAACAGAAGTATTTTGAGCCTGATAGAGATTGCTTGAAAGCTTCTTCCAAAGTGCATTCAGGAATTATTGTTTTTTCCCTTTTCACCAGCCTCCACTTTTCATATGGTTTATGTTTTGGTGGCTAAACTTCCAGATCTATGCTTCTTTAATATGCTGGGGAAGCCGGTGAGCCAAGCTTACCTGCTCTCCCATTTTCTCTCTGTTCTGTGTTCATGCATGCTCAGTAAGGGATTCTGGTGGCAGCTGCTGTTTGCCTTGCCTGTTGTAAGCAGGCACATACAGGAGGCTTGCCTGAAATCCCTCTCTTTCCCATCTCAAGTTTTATTTACTGCAGACACGGGGCTGCAGCCTGATGCCAGAAGTCTGCTTTTCTAGTACCCCTTCACCACCTTTCCCAATGCTGATGTTGCTAAAAAGACTCAACTGGAAAGAGGACAAGGAGGAATGGGGGCTGCATCATGTTAGGAAGGGACATCTTTATCAGGGATTTTGTTAACTGTAGTACTTCTGTACTGAGTACATGTTGTTGTTTGCCTTCAACATGTTTCTACGGTGACCCTATCACAGGATTTTCTTGGTAAATTTCTTCAGATGGAGTTTGCCACTGCCATCCTCGGAGGCTGAGAGAGTGTCACCCAGAGGGTTTACATGGCAGAGCCGGGATTTGAACCCTAGCCTCTACAGTCCTAGTCCAATGCTTAAAGCATGGGGGCTCCCACTGAGTACATAGAGAGGACTGTTGTCTTTTTGACCTACTTGTGGCCCTTGCCAAGACAAGGGCTGCATCCGCACTACAGAAATAATCCTGTTTGACCCCACTTTAACTGTAATGGCTCAGTGCTGTGGAAATTCTGGGTTTTGTAAGCCTCCTCTGTCAGAGAGATCTG